AAGTCTTCCCTTTTCACTGCATCATAGGGAGCAACTGAAAATAAAAACTTCTGTCTCTAATAGGAAAGGAAATATCTATCATCTTATATTACATTAATTCTTTCCTTATGGTAAACTTGTAAATAGCATTATTATGTTTATTAAAACCAATGGACATTTACATTTTCTAGATTCTTCTTTGCAAAGCAGAGAAGACATTGTTCACTTTTTAATTTTTACCTCTTTTTGCCTCCAAACAAATTAATCAGGAGCTTTTTAAAATGCCTCTTGGCAAAGAAAGGGGGCTCTTTGTACCTGATGTTAAAAACACATTTTATTTTATGTGCTCTTATTGACATGTAAAGATTAATGAAAATTTCAAAGAACTATCTGAGACACAGTGCACATCTGCCATAAGAACCGCAACTCTGATGTGTTTTCTGTCAGTATAAACAGCAAAGCTGCAGAGAGTTGCTCTCAAACACAAAGGATGCCAGTAGGCCCCCTGGAGATGATGTCCTGTGTGATGATATGATGATAGGCAACATGTTTGCTCTATAGCTGTGGCACCTGTCTTTCACAATGATTTATCTAAGAAAGCAACTGGATATGTGTCAGTATGCTTTCCATATGTCTCACTTGTAAAGACCAGAAGTGATGACAGATACAGATATGTCTTTATGATGGGACTAGAGTGAATTCATGGAGAGAAGAGAAAAAAAAAACCACAATTGGGAACTTATTTTTTGTTGAAGAAACAAATACTTTCAGTGATCAAAATCATAGAAGCTGTGAAGATTAATCCATTTCTACAACTTTTTTTGGTTTGTTTTTAATGTATATATAGGAGTTCCTTGAAAGCATAATTAGGGCAAAATCTTAAGGTTATTTCCACCAAGACAACAGCTGATTTTGTCTGTTTTTTTTTTTTGTTGTTCCTGAAAAATATTCTATACTTATTTCCTTTGATTTGCTGGTCAAAATTTACATCATTAAAGAGGCATAATGGAGTTGTCTAATGATACTGCCACCTGTTGCCAAAACTCAGAACTGCAGCACTCTTCTTCTCATTCTCATAGTTCGCACTCATTTGTAAGTTTATTTATTTATTTATTTTTTCAGCATGCCTGAAGTTGCCACTGGTGTCTGAGTATTGTTGGATGTCAGGTGCTTTTGATTATCCACAACATCCATCTTGAATCTAAAGATTTGATCATTTGCCAGGTCGGACCCATTCAACATGGACGCTCATGACATCTCATCCACCGAACAGATAAAAATAAAAAGGTTATTTCAAAAATGTTTTCAGTAAAACACTTACATAATGTCTCTTTAAGTACAATAACAGTTTATATCAATTTACAAAAGACAATCAGTCAAGTTGTTACTGACCCTTTTCATCTTGCATCTCCTAAAGCCTTTTCAAGTGCAATAGGAAAATGGTTAATACACATCTTATGCTGCTTAATTGTGATTATTTGTATTCAGGTGCAAACACAATATATTTTTTCATGTGGTGCTGTGCTTAGAGCTGCAGGGACATTAAAAGTAATTAAAACCTGGTATTTTGCATGTACTGCTGCCTTGCGGCAAGAAGGTTTCGGGTTCAATTCCCGACCTGGGGTCTTTCTGCAAGGAGTTTACATGTTCTCCCTGTGCATGCCTAGGTTCTCTCTTGGTATTCCAGCTTCCTACTACAGTACAAAATAATGACTTTTAGGTTAATTGGCTTCTCTAAATTCTCCTTAGGTGTGAGTGTTTTTGAATGGTTGTTTGTCTCTGTGTTGCCCTGTGATGGACTGGTGACCTTTCCAAGGTGTACCCCGCCTTATGCCTGTTGACAGCTGAAGATAGGCACCAGCACCCCTCGCATCCTCAGAAGGGATAAAACGTGACAGAAAATGGATGGATGGATTTAACCATTAAGACTTGATGACCATCTTAGGATGAAATACTTAACACAAAGTCAGAGTGTCCCCAAATAGCTATTAGATGATTTAATCAAAACTACACTTTATTGCCAGAGATATTAGCTAACCTGCCTTAACTGACATATGACCTTAAAGGAATTCCCATTACTAATCATAGGGGCTTAATATGTCGTCAACCACTGTTGGCAGCAAGAACGGCTTCTACTCTTCTGGGAAGGCCATCCACAACGTTTAGGGGTATGTTTATGGGAATTTTTAGAGGCATATTTTTGAGGTTGCAAACTGATGCTGGACTACAAAAGTCTGGCTCTTAAATTTCATCCCAAATGTGTTCAATCGGTTTGAGATCAGGTTTCCATGCATTCATCTTCACTCTGTCATCCATGTCTCTATCGACCTTTCTTTGTGTTGTGGTGCACAGTCATGTTGGTAGAGGAAGGGGCCGTTCAAAGCTGTTCCCACAAAGATGTTGAAGCATTCAGAGTTCCCTTCGCTCAAACTAAGGGGCCAAGCCCAGCTCCTGAAAAAACAACCCCAAACCATAATACCCCATCCACGATGCATCAAAAATACTTCCAGATGGAGAAGATCATTTCGTCAGACCAGAGAAAGCATCTACTGCTCTGGACTCCAGTGGTGGCCTGCTTTACACCACTGCATCCAATGCTTTGCATTGCTCTTGGTGATGTATAGCTTGCTCGACCATGGAAACCTATTCCATGAAGTTCTCTGCTTACAGTTCTTGAGCTAACCTGAGGGCCACATAAACTTTGGAGGTGTCTAGTTATTGAATCTGCTAAAAGAGGACTTATTCACTCTATATGATTCAGCAACCGCTGACCCTGCTCTGTCAACTTATGTGGCCGAGTAGCTGTCGTTCCCAAAGACTTCCAGTTTCTTATGATACAGCTGACAATTGACTGTGGAATATTTAGGGGCTAGGAAATTTCCCGACGGTATTTGTTGCAAAGTTCCACACTGGAATTTACTGAGGTCCTGAGAGTGACCGATTCTTTTACAAATGTTTTAACGCTTAGCTGCTTGATTTTATACAACTTTGGCCCTGGCACTGATTGGAACACCTGATTACAAGTTGGATGGATTAAGCATGCTGACGTCAGTGATGTTTATTATGCTGATGTCTGCATGGTGTAGCACTAGATTTGGCAATGGACATGAATTTAATTATGTGTTTAGGTGTATGTACACCTATAAAAAAAACAATATACTATGTATATATGGTACTGTTTACTCAAATGTTCTGTGTAATCCTTTCAAAAGACAAATGATGGCTTTGCATTTTGTACATATCGTACAACAACTAATTATCAAGCAATTTAAGTAAAACTTGCTCTTCATTAACCTTCTGTAGAAACTCTTCCACAGATCTCTTCACATCATGTATGGGAGTATACGCTAATGTTTTTATGGCAATTAACATCCTACAACCAAAAAGAAGAGAAAATAAAGCAGAGGTTTACAAAATTACACAAGATTACCTTGGTTTAACATGAAATAAGGAATAACATACTGTAGTGAGAGAGTAGAGGTAATGTAATTTATGGAGGAAAGAGATCATGGGCATTTTTTGACTATGAAGTAATGTTATTTTCCTGCTAGGCAGAGTGAAGGAAAAAAAAAGGTTTGAATGCGACGGATCTGGTTCTGTTTCCTTGATCCATCAACTGCAACAGGACCTAAACAGTTCTCAGCTTTATTGACACCAGGCTTAACAGAGGAAACAGCATGAATTGGAATATTTAATAATTACTTTACCCAAGAATCCAATCTATTCCTCAGGTAACTAAATATATGGCAGCTTAAGACATTTCCCTTATAATTAAAAAAAAAAATGAGATAAAAAGAAAAAGCTGCCCGAGGACTTTGACCAGTTTTAGAATGACCGCATATTTGATAGTGAAACCTAAAACAAACAAAAAAACAAAACAGTTTTATTATTTCTATGGAGTTTTAAGTTCAACTGACTTGCAGAAAAAAATCTCAGGTCCCGAATTACTCCAGCTTAAAAGTCATGGGGTCCAAAGTGCAACCTAGGGACAAATTGATAAAAAGTTCAAGAAATTGATTGCAGTAAGTTACAACAACATAAAATTAATACCATTCGGCTATGGATATATTACTGTTCACACACTAGAATCTCACAAATACAAATATTAAAAATACCTGTTTTTTAATCATACTCTTCAATCCTGGTTACATTATATAGTACTGATTTGACTCTATTAGTTGTGAAATATTTATATGCTGTAAAACAATCTATTTGAGCACATAAAATAAAACCATGATCTTAACCACACGATCAATTACAAATGTTATACATTATCAGTTACACTTTCTCATTATTCCAAGAATGATGTAGCACAATGAATTGTTCCCAATATTTTGCAATGATATGAAATTATCTAAAAATAAGCTATTCTGTCAGAGTTTGGTGGAAGTTGTTAAGGACTCAAATGCAGTAAAGAGGAGGCAGAAATGAGTTTGCTGATTAAATGGGAAATTGTAACAGAAGCACAAATCAAACAACACTAAAAAGAAACCAAAAAAAAACAGGAGATATCAGGGAGAAACAACACACAGGGAGCAAAGCAATGAAGCAACAAGACACCTGCCCTGAGGAACTGCACAGGGAGAGTATATATGGGAGACAGAACAAAGACTGGGGTAATCAGTCTTTGGATATGGATATGGAACAGGTGTGGATAGAAGGGTGCCAAGGGAAAAGGAACCTGGCACAAGAGGAAACACAAAAATCACCACACTGCCAGAACACAATGACAAAGTCACAAAATTAAAGAGAAACTAAAAATAAAACTAAACAAAGGGCAGAACCCTGACATATTCTTTATATTATCCTAATTACAAGCTGTATTTACAAATGTGCATGCAATGATCAAGTCTCATTAAATACATTATATTTTTCCAAGTTTAAAGAATGTGACGTAGCTGTGATTTATATTTACTGTGGGTTCGTAATGAATACTTATGACCAGTTCTATGGTTGTGTATCTATGCATATTTTACATCAGGTCGATATTTCTAACAATACTGTTTGTTCTTATTTTATAGCAGGAGTGATGGCACAGGAAAATGTAAGAGGAGATGGAGTCCTGAAGACGACTGGAGCTCCTGGTAAGTCATAAGATATATTGGAAAAACAAACAATGAAAGAAAGAACGTTTGGTAGTTTCAAAAAAGGTGTTCCAAGCTGAAAATCTTGCCAAAGTGTCTCATTAGGCATGCTTCAGTTTTTTTGTAGACATATAGGGTATGTAGAGCTAACAGGACAACAGTAGAGTTGTCCTTTTAGCTTCTCTTAGAGGACCATAGCAAGGGTTGAAGTTGGAGTATAGCAGGGAGAGGATTAGCTCCCTAAAAGCTATTTGCTTTAGCTACAAAACGATGAATTTATCTCTCCAGGGCATTGATCAGTCTGTGCTTTAGGCTCAAAAATGTAAGTATATTTGTCCCTTTTTCAAAAGTGACAATAGGATGGAGAGAGGGATGGATAACTTATAAAAAAATCCAAATTTACTTGTTTATCAATCGTTAAACACTCAGCTATTTTCAAAACATATTATATAATATAAAACATATTAAACATGACAGAAGTTATGAGCTATTGGTTATAAACAGATGAAATAGGTTCCCTACATAGGCATGGAGATAGAAAGGAGAAGCACTGTTGTCCGAGGGATGGTGACGTAGAGCGGCTGCTCCCATGCATCAAAGGAAATCATAGGAAGCCAAGCCAACTTTCTTGAGGAAGGTTTTTTTGTGAAAAAGAAGGCACTGACCAAGGTTTTGAATATAAATAATATAAATTATAATATAATTTATATTCTTTACTAATTTAATATAATATAAATTATATTAAAGTAGTAAAGACAATAAAAGTTTTAAAGGGATGCAATGTACCTGTAGATGTCTCCCTTTGGAACGATTATGGATGCCACATCTTAAGGGGAGCTTAAGGCAGAGCCCAAAGAACTCTGGAAGAACAATATATAGGACTCGCATAGTAAGCACTTTCTGTGACTTTTTATGAGGTTATATTTTTATCTAAGTAAAATTTGAGATATTTTAAAAGTTTAAAGTGGTTCTTTGTAACTCTTGCACTCTGCTTTAACTATTAGCTCAATTTTAGATATAATAAATGATTTTCTAAATCAGTATTGAAGTATATAGATGTGTGGGCGGCCTTTATCAAAAACAGGCCTACGGTATGTAACTTGAGAGGGTGCGATTTGTTGCTGAATGGGTGATATGACCTAGAATGCTCTATGGCTCCCTTTAGACCAGTGGTCATTGATTAGCAGAGCGCGGTCCGGATCCGGACTCACCTGCTGGATAATCCGGATCCAACCTGATTTAAAGCATTTATAAATGACCGCATGTTGTCTGAAGGCAGCATCTATTTTCACTTGCACCGCCTCTCCTGTTTGTACGGTAAAGCCCTCCAGAGCATCCAGCACCAGGCTGCACGTGATACAAATCAGCCAATGAGCTGTTAGTCAGGGTTGCTGCTGCGAGCCACTTTTTACACACAGCACTCAAACCTGTGGCAAGCCGGGCGATGGGAAAGAAGGAGAAGACGATAAGAAAAGGTGAAAGAAATTGTGGACTGCTGGAAGAACTGCAGTGAAGTGATAGAAAAGTGAAATGGTTTGCTCAAAGATGACCCTGCACATTTTGAGTATGTTTGACTCAACCTACTGCTGTACAGCAGGATTTCCCACCATGAACATTATCATAAATAAATATCGATCCAGGCTCAAAATGATATATGCTTGAGAATGGCTTTTTCAAACCCAGGTTTAAAGCCTTGCAGGGCAGCACAAAGCCCACTGCTCTGGATGCATAAAAAAAATTTATTTTAGTGTTAAATGCTGTTTAAAGTGATGGATTATAATTAAAAATGTCTCTGGACCTTTACTGCTTGTTGATATTCTTTATTCAGACCCTACTGATTTCTAATTGGTTACCCCTGCTTTAGAGCTTATTAAGAGGTTGCTAAGCTTAATGTTGCTGTGAGGCAACAAAACTGTTTTATCATTGTAATGAACTCTCAAAGTTCTCATTCTAGTGGTCAAAAGGATCTGGCCATCAGATCCTAAACATGGAGGGAGATTCTTTCATTTTGTGGCAGTGTTGTGTTGTCAATGGCCTTCAGGGCTTCTAAACTGACAAGTTCCAATTCCATAGTGGCTTAGAGTCACATAGTGCCACTTTGGTGAAGGTGATCGACAGTAAGACTGGGAGTAAATTTCTGGCCGACTTCTCACTGCTTGAATAACAATTTCCTCTGAATTAAACCAAAAACGATGTAACCCTTAATAAGAAGGCATTGTTTCTATTCCTGTTCAGACATTAATTAGGCGTGTTCTTTCAGCAACTACAGAGCCATCTGGTCAAGTGCCTATTTACCCCACCATGGAGGAAAATGACATTTCTACAAAGACACCTGAAAGTCATGTCAGCACCTATCTTCATACAATCCAGCCCAATCCCTCAGAGGAAACAACAAATGACACATTTCAGACAAAACTGCCTGTTCAACACCCGGATACTTCAGCACCCAGTACTACCAGAGGTGACAACCTACCAGGGGTAAGATAAGCTATACTCAGATATTTCACTACAAAGAATGAGCACAAATTCTGCATATGTGGACATGTTAAATACTCTCAGTACAAACTTAAAATCCACTACCCCTACACAACAGTAACATACTGCAGTAATATGTCTACTTGTAAGAAAGAGATGTGATGAAACGTTTTGGTTTGCAGCCTCGGGACGTGACGTGTGGGAGTAAAGAGAGAGTGGAGGGAAAAAACGCTGTTCTCTTGAAACTCAAGAGATCCGGCAACTGTGTAAGTTTAAACAAACTTTTTTTAGTCTTAATTTTACATTTATTTCAAAGTGATGTTGTTTTATTAGAAGCTAAATGACATGTATATATCATCACAACCTAAAAACTGGCACATAAATGAGAATTAATGCCTAACTCGCTTTATGTTTCCTAGCTACCAAATCGTTTTATCAAACCTAAACTAAAATATTCCCCAATGGCTCAGAAGCCAGTGACCCAGGGAAGTTACCGGTATGCATGAATGTTAATTTCAAAGAGCCTGTGCAGTCCAAGAAATTTCTGTTGCATGTACTGTAAAGCTGGGGCACAGGCTGAGAAGACAGTGGGAGGGCAGCACAATGGGTGGGCCCATTGCTTCTGTAAAATATGTAATGTATAGCAGCCTGGGGGAGAAATGTGGACGTGTGTGTGTGATTGTATGTTTCTGTTTATAACAATAAATTCCTCCGTATCTCAGAATGACAGCTTTGGGGTTTGCCGCTTTTTTTTGTGGAGGTTTAAAGTTACCTCATATGCTTTCTTTTAGCTTTAGCTTTTATTTAGAATGAGGACAAAATGCATTATTTACTCTTTGAACAATGGAAACACAAGGAACAAATTCAGGAGATTTGTGCTGTTGAACAATAGATCAAACCACTGTCATTGTTCTGTAAGTAAAACAGTGATGCCCATAGCAAAACATATTTAACTCTTCAAAAAAAATAAACCTAATTGAATTTGAGAATCAGGATTTCCCAAGTTAGAGAACAGACATAAAGGAAATTGCTTTTAGATTCTAACTAAATCTGTAGCAGTATTCCTGATAGGATTCTCTGACATATGAATAAGTACACGTGTTTTTTTTCCTTTTTAAATGCAACTAGCTATGAATGTCCTGCTGGTGTGAATGATTTAAATCATTCAGACACTGTGATAAAAACACATCTGGATATAATGTGATACATTATTTGCAGGAAGACACACGGCAGGTCATTATAGATCATCTTCCGCAACTGTGTCATGAAGACTGTAAGATGGAGCTTTATCAAGAAGACAACACAGATAGCGTCCTGGTGTCTGGAAAGTATGTGGAAGGTCAGTATTCTGAATAATGATAATCACACGCCTTCAAACTTTTTCATTGCTTTAGGCGGAGATAAATCATCTCTTTCAGGAATGTTTAATATGCGTGTGTCTTTTAACAGGAAAGCTGTGTTAACACAACCTGCATTCATGCATCCCTACTTTCAGATTTCTAATAGTTATGGCTCCTTTGTTTAGATAATACTCTGAGATTAATTTAACTTTTTATTGTTTTTTTTTTAGTTTTTACTGCACTAGTGGCTCTTTTTTGGACATTAGGCCGACAAGACAGGGGTATAAGCATGTGGCAAAAGACCACTGGTCAGATTCAAACCCGCATCGAGGACTAAGGCCTCCATACATGGGTCATGTGTGCTAACCACTGCTCCACCGAAGNTTAGATAATACTCTGAGATTAATTTAACTTTTTATTGTTTTTTTTTTAGTTTTTACTGCACTAGTGGCTCTTTTTTGGACATTAGGCCGACAAGAGAGGGGGAGAGACATGTGGCAAAAGACCACTGGTCAGATTCAAACCCGCATCGAGGACTAAGGCCTCCATACATGGGTCATGTGTGCTAACCACTGCTCCACCGAAGCGTGCCCCATTAATCTGACTTCTTTATTTGTTTACATTTGCAGATGATGTGACAGAAATGGTGGACAAATTCAACAGCCTCATCGGAAAAGATAATGTAAGCTTTTTTTTTTAAAGAGATCAAATTTATTTGATGCTTTCAAAAGGACTTTATTCAGCTCATCAAGCTGAGTCATAAGTTTGTCACTATGTTTCTCCAACCTCTTCCCTGCTGAGAAGACCAACGCACAGCCAGAGAAATTACACATTTCTAACCAAAGCCGTAAATTACACCATTTGTCATGAAGGATCTATAATGGAGGAGTCACTCTAATTGACTCAATGAGCTAAATGCTGGTTGATTTAGGATCAAATTTGTAACACATTAAGGAGAAGGAAAAACGCTCCCCTTAGTCTGGGAATGCTCTCTGAGGCATCACATTGCCACACTGACGGCTGGTGTTAAAAACTAAAAGCCCCAAAACAAACAACATGTCAGCAGCAAAACATTTTACTTCCACCTTAGGACCAGTTTTTAGTCACATCCATCAGTGTCTTTTCTTTTAACATCCCAAGCTTTTCCGCATTACTTGTTTATGAATAAATGTAATCCTTGCATAATCATAACAGTTCACCTGTATTTAGATATAATCAAACCCAGGAAGGAGTGCATACTGGTTGCAGTAGTAATATTAATGGATCAAAAATACTTTTGTCTGCTTTATAGAGAAGCTACTAGTAATTATTTGAATATATATTTACATTTGAACCACGTGATTACACACGGAATCAATGGAAGGACAAGGAACCTTTTTACTCTAAAGTCTGACAATAATTTTTACTGTAATAAACTGATTCATTTTCTAATTTGAACTTAAACTTTACATTTTTAATGTTTACAGGCTTTTCCTAAGTAGATGATATATTAAATATTGTATGACTTGCATCATGCAATTTCAATCAAGCACACAGAACACATTTCCTTTTTGATTAGTTTGATAAATGGATGACTTCATGCTTGTAAATTACCGGTATTGTTTGAATGAATAATTAGGCACTTTCTGCCACCTGGGGAATTTCACCAAGAATCTTGGGGGGTCTATAGTTCTAGCTTTGGTATCTGGTCAAAATTGTGTTAATTTCTCCTTGTGATCTGATACAGGGAAGCCGCTTGAGGTGTTACCCCAAAGCCCTCTCAGAAATCTACCTGCATTTAACTACAATGATACACTCAGTCATAGCATGACCACCTGAGCTTTACCAAAATGTTTAAAGGCACAGTAATATACGTGTTTTATAAATATATAAGTTTGAACAGAGATAGACCAAAGAAAACTGCATAAAAGTTATATATTACTAAATATTCTTGCACTAACTAATAATCTCATCTGAACCTAAACTGACTGATTTTAAACTGTAGGAAACAAGGAATGTTAGAATCAAAGCGTAATATTTAAGCTTTATAGACTAAAACACCCAGCAATATTTATATATTTTTCACGATTCTGATCATTACAAGTTAAAGTGGAAAAAGTTATTTTAATTTCAAACTGAAAAAAAATATGAATCTCTAAAATCAATTATTCTATTATTAGAACAATTAGTAATAGCCATTAATAAATAACATTGTCAGTCAATGGTGTTCAAATCAACAAAAAAAATTTGAACAAAACAACAAAAAGTTGACGACCTAAATAATTAGGTGATGGTCTAGTGGTTAGAGCAGTGCGCTTTTGCTCTGAGAAGGTTGCAAGTACCTGGTTCAAACCCCACAGCCTGCACTCTGGGTTCCTGAGCAAAGACTTTCACCCGACACTGCTCCCTGAGTGCCGCACAATGGCAGCCCGCTGCTCCCCAAGGGGATGGGTTAAAATGCAGGGATAAAATTTTGGGTAGGAAGGGTAGGAATTATTAGGAGCTAAAGTTACAGTGCACAGCAATACCTTTTGGGTGAGCAAACGTATTTAGCAATGAACAAAGGCAGGGTTACTGGTTTTTGGTGGTTATCGACAGCCCTTTTTAAGGTGGATTAACGATCTAGCTTTGGCATAATAGCAGTTGGATCTGTCTGAGGTTGCTAGAGGATAAACAGGGATGCTTTTACAGTTAATAAATTCATTAATATCCTGTTGATTACAACAGATAGAGAATGCAAAAAAAAAAAAAAAAACTAGTGATTCAACAGTACTTTCACAGAGTGTGAAACACATAAAATCTTACATGAATTTAGCACAGCCATCACAGAAAATGGAGAAAATGTTTAATAATGGATAAGAGAACTTTTCAAATGTCTGAACTTGAAGACATGTTAAGCTTAATGTGTCATCATGGAGAGAGGAGTCCGCCCCTCCTGGCTCTCTGGTTGTATTTCAATCTAGAGATGAACTCTAAACTGGGACTTTAGGGAGCAATCGGATGACGGCTTGGTGAAAAATAATTTAGATTGATAGCTGATTGGAGAAGTGAAAGTTAATCAATATATACACCTGGTAATGTTTTCTCTTTTGGCTTCACAGGGACTGTGATGACAGTAGAAAATAATATCACTTCAGCCAGAAAAGTCATTCCCTCATCTCAGAAATTGTTTTAAAGTTTTCTATATTTTCTAATTTCTTTTTAAAATTTTCTATCTCAGAGAAACTTTTATTGTTTTCAATCTTAGAACCTCATAATAACCCAGCAAGACTGTATCCTTATTATAATTAGAAACCCTGGGTTGCCAAATGAGTGGACAAGGATTTGCTTTGTCTTAGTTGCAGACGTGAATTATTTTGCTAATTAAAAGGCATAGTAATTAAAAAATGCTTCTCAAGTTTAACTTAAATATTTACATTTATCACTTGATTTTTTCTGTCAGACTGATATCCAGTCAGCCACTCCTCGCTGGGGGAAGAACTCAAAGACGGTGCTGGTTTCCTTGCTGCTTGTTGGCTTGTTGCTGGCTGCACTGCTGGTCGGATTGTATTACTTTAAGACACATCGCAAGAACTCCAAAGGTGTCAGATTGGTAAGTTGTTTATTATTAATGCAGTGTTAAAAAAGCCTAAATATATCGGCGACTGCCACTGGTTTCACAACTGTTATCCTTGTCTTCTCAAAATGGGACAGATTGTATAAACGATAATGTAACATTCTGAATAAATAGTGCAAAGAAAGTGTTTATCTGAAACAAAGAGCCAAGAGGTTCAAAAATAAAAATAAAATACACATGGATGTCATTTTTCTAAAGTGATCCACTCAATTCATGACTAAAGGAGGACACGCCTGACTTTTATGTGGTTCGAATCACCATTAATTCCTTTAAGCTGGTTTTACCTTAGCTCCCTGCCAGGGATTGCACATGTTTCTGCTGTTTTTAATTTTTTTATTATGTAACGTCATCTTTTTAAACATTTACATATGGAGGCACGCCTGCAAGATTATTTTACAGGGATGTTATCAAATGGGTGGCCCAACTATTTTCATTAGGTGTAGAATAACTGAAATAGGAACCAATGCTTATATACCGAACACTTAACTAGGTTTTCATCTGTGCATAATACTGTAGGTTTACCAAGAACCGTGTTTTCAAAAGTTAAAACAACATCAAAGTAATCATAGCCAAATCCCATAAAACCCTAAAGAAAGGACTTATACACTTTCCATACACTCCTTCCTGCTATAGCTTAGAATAAATCTTTGCCAATCTAATAGAAGATCCACATTAAAGCTGTGGCTTTGTTTCCTCCTTAGGCTGAGTCTTTCCAGGTGGATGAGGAAAACCAGGCCAACACTCTGGTATCTGTGGCCCCGCTGCCTCAGGAGCCTGCTGACAAACCCACCGCCAATGGAGAGTCTCCCCCTGAAAATGGGGCGAACAGCACCCCAACCACTAATGGACACTCTGCTGCCCAGACTCCAGTGGCTGATACCGAGATGTGAATCACCCTCCCATCTGCAGTATCTCAATGTGCCAGTCACCTACTAACCTCTCCGTTAATCTGAGACAAATTCAGCTTGAATTAATCACAAACATCCGTATCTCCTCCTGCTCTTCTACTAAAATAATAAGACTCCATATGAAGAAGCAAATGTTGATCAAATGATGTCAATGCCTGTAATGTGAAAAGTTTGGGAACACTCGCCTTTGCTGATGTCAAAACCTGCCTACACTGACAGAGAGGCTGGTTATTAGAGACCTGCTCTAACTTCAGTGTTTGCAGAATTATGAAGTCCTGACAATAACGTATTGCCGATCTCTAAAAAAGAAGCAAAAAAAAGAAACATTTTTTGTACCAAATACGAAATTGTACTGCAATTAAACCATGTGATGCCTAGCAGCTGATAGAAAACAGATTCCTGTATTTTTGATAAAAGAACGCCAATTTTTTTACTGCTTATTTCATAGCATCAATTGCTGCCTTAAAAGTGAACTAAAAAGCCAAATTTAGTTTTGCTCTTGAGTTAGATAGAAGGCAGCATTTACAATCTTTTGCAGTACTAAGAAATAAACAATGTGCCAAAGTTTTAAAAATGTATAAATGTACGTTGGAAGTAGTTAGTTTCTAAGTTGTTTGTTTTGTATACACTGTTTATACAAAATGACAATAAAAGTTGTCTAAGTTGGTTTAGCCTTCTTCCTGCCGAACAACCAAACATCTGCAGCCAAGCTTTAATTAAAACTCATTGAAAGCAGGATCTAAAACGTATTTTTATGATGTAATAATGTGGTTTCCAGTATTGTACATTTTTTTAAATATTTGTTTTACAATGAAATAGATTTTTCATTTTTTTACTACTGTCTTAGGTAACTATACAGAAAATTAGCTTGTTTACAAAATAGACTGGGAGTTTTTTAGTTGCCAGGATAAGAAAGAACATCGTTGCTGTGACGTTCTTTCATGGCTCAAAGCAGGTTCAGATTTCAAAGTAGCATATTTGTTTTCTTATTTTTGTAAAACATGTTTTCTACTCCAGTGTTAAACTTTTATTTTTTATTTTTCTGTTGCTGTGTGCTCCATGTATAAATTTGCTTGCTTTCTTATTCATAAACTGTTGTTACAAACATGCAGGTGGTTCTCATCATATTTGTGCTGTGATGACTTGATAGATCAATAAAAGAAGAACATGCAACCACAAGCCTGAGAAAAAAATCTGGTTTAATATTGCTTTACTCAAAAACAGACACTAACCACAAACCCTATATCATGACCTACTTTGGAATTAGGCTTAAACCAAATCTTGATACTAAAGAGCCATAGCCAGTAGCAAATAGATTAAGCAGATTTAGGTCTCTAAAAGAGACGCAATCAGGACACAGACAGGAATATTTGCATTGATTTGTAAGGACTAATCAGCTATGGCTTCTGGTTCTACATGCAAATCCAGTTTTATTTAAAATTTGAGGCAGATCAACATGTCCGACATGATTTTTCTCTTGATATTGTTGGGTTTGATGCTGTGTATATATAGTGTGGTTTCCCTAATATAACTAATCTACCAAACAAACAATCACTGATAAAGATTTTTGTGCTGAAAATTGTATAAATAGGGTGTAAATTTAGATATACTTAAACATTTTACACACTGCAACACATTTTAATCCATTCCACATTTACATTATCAGCTTAAAAACTTTCCCATGTCCTAGTTTTAGTTTGCCTTCCAAATTTCTCTATTTTCTCAAACCCATTGAATAGAAAAAAAAAAGTTATTGAGTTTGTTTCTTACATATCCTATTAATAATTAATTGTCTGTAGTATTAGGTTTTATGTGAATACTTAATGTGACATGATTCAAATTTTGTTAAAGAAACAAACTGAAAATGCAGAACTACTGCACATTTGGTCATTTTGGACAAGAAAATACTACCTGAGTTTTTAACATTAAAACAAATTCCAAAAATTAGATTTTTTTTCATTTGATCAGATCATTCTGTTGTATAACACCAATATACAATATAATTGCCATTTAAATCATTTAAAGTATATAACTTCTCAAACCCAAACACTTTAGAGTAACTTTTCTTTATCAAATTGACTTACCATACTGTTTTACGTCACCTCAATTATGTTGTGTGAAATTCAGTCTTGCTCATTGACAAAATTCAGTAATTAGACAACAATCTTAACAGATTAAATCATGATAATCTTATGGAAATTAATAAGTCTACAGTCTAGTAAACCAACACCAAGTAATTTTTTTTTTTATTATTGAACATAAGATCTGTCTCCTCAAATAGTTTATTAGGTAATGACTTGATTTGTGATAAGGAGGATGAGAAGCAATAAACTTTTAGTTTGTTGATTGGTCCAAAGGTAATTAAAAATTACAATTCTTTTGAACATTTAAATAAACTCTTCTGTTTGCAATCCTCTATTAAACAACAAACCCTCACACTTAATTTTTAGGTCAGTTTTCAAGCTTTGATTCAGTGGCAAATTCTGACAAGATCATTATATCAGGGGGTTTATACCGACATTAAAGGGAATAGTTTAAATGCAACCTTTGATGCTATGATACACTCAACTGGACCCCGTTTCATCATTCTGCTTCATTTTATCTCTATTCTCACATTCTGCAGTATTTGTTAATTTAATCTCTAATGCTATGCTCTCTCTGGTTCTTATCTAGTAGTTTCATCTGGTCTGTTCCTGTTTGGCTGTGACTCCATCCTGGAGAGAAATATCAGCTCTGCTGCTGCCATCAACACCTTTGTTTATAGATGTTCGAGATCACCCTGTTTTTCAGAGTAGTCCTGTTTCTCTGACTGTGACTAACTATATGTGCTCTCTTTCATCTTCTGACATGGGAGTTGGAGCTCATCTGCCTTGTGTGTTTCCTGGATGGCGCCGCCTGCGGACCTGGCTGACAGTTGCCATTTGTATCTCTGCTTCTTGAAATATATGTCTTCTTCTGTCTTCTTGAACCCCAGTCGGTCTCTGCAGATGGCCGCTCACACTGAGCCTGGTTCTGCTGGAGGTATCTTCTTGTTAAAAGGGAGTTTTTCCTTTCCACTCTCGCTACAAGTATGCTTATTGAGAGGGATTGCCTTTGAGTCCATGAGTCGATGCAATCAACTGGTTTTCCTTAGATAGAAAATTATGAATACAAATAAAGTGAATTGAAATGAACTGGCTTTGATCAAAATGTGCATACACCCATGTATTTCCATCTTCATATGATGGACCTTGAGCTGACATACTACAGGACCTTCTGAAAATATTTGCATATTGTGATGAAGTTCATTATTTTTCATAATGTAATGATAAAACTTGAACATTCATATATTTTAGATTCATTGCACACTGACTGAAATATTTCAGATCTTTTATTGTCTTAATATGGATGATTTTGGCATACAGCTTATGAAACCCCAAAATTCCTATCTCACAAAATTAGCATATTTCATCCGAACAATAAAAGAGTGTAATAAAGTGTTATTAATACAAAAAAGTCAACCTTCAAATAATGATGTACAGTCATGCTCTCAATACTTGGTGGGGAATCCTTTTGCAGAAATGGCTGCTTCTCTGCTGCGGGGCATGGAGGTAATAAGCCTGTGGCACTGCTGAGGTGTTATGGAGGACAGGATGCTTCGATAGCAGCCTTTAGCTCATCCAGAGTGTTTGTTCTTGTGTCTCAATTTTCTCTTCACAATATCCCACAGATTCTCTATGGGGTTCAGGTCAGGAGAGTTGGCAGGCCAATTGAGCACAGTGATACTATGTTCAGTGAATCATTTACCAGATGTTTTGGCACTGTGAGCAGGTGCCAGGTCGTGTTGAAAAATGAAATCTCAATAAAGCTTTTCAGTAGATGGAAGCATGAAGTGCTCCAAAATCTCCTGATAGCTAACTGCATTGACCCTGCCCTTGATGAAACACAGTGGACTAACAGCAGCAGCTGACAGTGACATGGCACCCCAGACCTTCACTGACTTTGGGTACTTGACACTGGACTTCTGGCATTTTGGCATTTCCTTTTCCCCAGTCTTCTACCAGACTCTGGTACCTTGATTTCCAAATGACATGCAAAACTGAGCAACAGTCCAGTGCTGCTTCTCTGTAGCCCAGGTCAGTTGCCTCTGCTGCTGTTTCTGGTTCAAAGGTGGCTTGACCTGGGGAATGCGGCACCTGTAGCCCATTTCCTGCACTTGCTTGTGTACGGTGGCTCTGGAAGTTTCTACTCCATACTCAGGCCCCGTCCACACGAAGACGAACCCTGGCCTAAACGCACAAATTTTTCACCAAACCAGCCTCTCATCCACACGAAGCCGGCGTTTCGGGGGTCTGTAAACGATCTTTTTTTTATTCAGCCTTCAGAGTGGGAAGATTCTGAAACGCCGTTTTCGCGTTTCCATCTTTACGCTCTAACCGCATATTTTCTTTTACACGCATGCGTCATAGCGTCGCCTCTAAACACGCATGCGCGACACATCACAACAACAATGGCGCCGTTGCTGCTAATGCTACTCACCCTGCTGTCGGGCTTGCAACAGAATCTTCTTCTTCTGGAATATCTCCAGGAAGAACAGAGCAATATCGACGACATAGTTCAGCACCTGAATTTGACTTAACCACGAAAATGGACCCGCAGGGCAACCATGTATAAATATTAGTGCGCATGCCCAACATTTCGTCGCTTATTTTTGCTTTGGCACCACAGCGCCACTTACAGGCCTGGCATACATTTTGCAGCGTTTTCATACATTCGTGTGGACGCTCACATTTATTTTACGTCTCCGTCTTTACGGCAAACGTTTTGGAAAATATCAGCGTTTCGTGTTCGTTTTGACTTCGTGTGGACGGGGCCTCAGTCCACAGATCCCCCAAGGTCTGGAATCAGCCCTTCACAGGGTGTCAATGATGGACTTCTGGACAGCAGTCAGGTCGGCAGTCTTACCCATGATTGGTGTTTTAAGTAATGAACCAGGCTGGGAGTTTTAAAGGCCTCAGGAATCTTTTGCAGGTATTTAGAGCTAATTTGTTGATTCAGATGATTAGTTGCATAGCTCGTTTGGGGACCTTTTTCATGATATGCTAATTTTTTGATATAGGAATTTGGGGTTTTCATGAGCTGTTTGCCAAAATCATCCGTATTAAGACAATAAAAGACCTGAAATATTTCAGTTAGTGTGCAATGAATCTAAAGCATATAAATGATTAAGTTTTTTCATTACATTATGGAAAATAATTTACTTTATCACAACATGCTAATATTTTGAGAAGGACCTGTATGTCATTGATTGTGAAGAAATAATATATTCTCAAAACCCTGTCTTATCAGACCACTTTTCTACTAACCTTCAAATTTAATTCAACAGAGTTCTCCTCCCCAAAGATAAAGTTTTACTTTAACATATTGCCAGCTTTCCACTACATGAATAAATGTTCAATGTAATGCATTTGATATAACATACTGCATATTTACACAGTTATTCTAATCATAATCAGAGCTTAACATGGATTTGAATATCATGAAACATTTGAATATAGTTTATAAAAAAAAATAACAACACAGCCAGTTCCTTTGTTTCTTGCTGCAAAGCTTGGTAGAACTGGTGGCTACAGTGATCTGAGCTACTCACGTTAGTGAAGGAAAACTGAACACAACAGTCTTGCAATGATTGTGTCCTGGATTACAAAGCAGGATATAAATATAGTTTTAAATCAAGTTGCTTCTTCCTTAATAGCGGAGATTAAGTATAATCCGAGATGCCTGTGTGAGTTGCCCACAGAGCCATGACTCTTTAAGCTATCTATTCCCCCAGTTCTGTGTAGTAATGGCTTTATTGAAATATTTAAATTAAATATGATTTATTCTATTAAAAAGTTTATCATTGCCACCATTCAAAATATTATTAATTCATCTGTAGAAAGTGAGACAGCGCTAGAAGTAAGTATAGAACCTGAAATGTGTTGGACTGCATTGATCTAGTTGAGCTATCTATGCCTAACCATCAACCTCATTAACACAACCATCAGTTTGTGAAGGGGGACAAATTAAATGGCAGCGGTCTACAATGTTCTGTAAGAAGGATGATGCTCTGAGTTACTGAGCTGACAATATTCTCTCACTATCAGATGTGAAATGCAGAGAAAGAAAACATGTCAGTAAATCACTTGAACCGTGTGGTT